CACTAAGATTTCCTTGTTCTGGGATACTGGCTGCTTAGAGATTCAGATGGCCTCCAAGGTGTGCTGGAAGGAGGAACCCTGGGAGGATGTGAGACAAGTCAGGAAAGACGGGTGGAGATTTAGAGGTCCTAAAAATCATCCAGGTCCTGGTCAGAAATCTTGTTTGCCTACAAGAAGCAGGGTGAATCCTGGCAGTGAGGCGATACTGAAATGCTATCAGTCTAATTAATATGGTGACATCATCTCATAGAGGCAAGCCTCTCCCTGGAACCAGATGCAGCCATGTCTGCCTGGAAGCCTTTGGCAGACTCTGTCTGGCAGCAACATCCCAGGACAGCAATCCAGGGCCAGTCAGAAAATATTTACTGAGTACCTGTTATGTGCCAGCCATCCAGGCCAGGTGCTAGGGATATAAAGATGAATAAGAAAGGGCCCCTGCAAAGAAGGAATTTACATTTGAGTGAGGACAGTAAACAATATTAGTGTGGTAAGTGCCAATAAAATACTATGCTCTGGGTGCTATGGGATCAGAGGAGGCAGAGTCTCTTGTGCAGCTTCAGGGAAGGGAGAAATTTACTATTTATCTGGTTACTCAGTTTCTAAGACTCATGTCAAGTGGGTAAATTTTTGTAAGTATATGGAACAGAATGACCTAAAGAATTGAAAGATGTGATGTTCATTGGACTATTTCTTCATTACATTGTAGACTCTAAAAAGGAATGAGGTAGAAGACACAGCTGGAATAGTAAAAGGGGTCCCATGAGTTCGAGCGTGGTCTTTGTTCCTCAGGCTATTCTTTCTCAAAGCATGATCCAAGTATCACTTGTGTCAAAATTCTCTGAGGATGACCATACACATTGCCCATTCTAAGCGCTACCCCATGTATACGGAGTCCAATGATCTGTCAAAAACATGCAGAGAATGTATTTTTAACAAATTTCTCAGACGATTCTTATGTGTACTGAAAGTTTGAAACCAATTATGGCATGGGGATCCAAGAGGGATTTTAAGAAGGGGAGGGATATTATTTGATTTTCAGTCTATATAGATCCATCTGGGTGCAATGTGGAAGGTAGAACTAAATGGTGGTAAATACCAAAATAGCAAAACCAATTAGAATGTTATTGCAATAATCTTGGCAAGACATGCTGACGGTCTGTGTTAGAGAAATTGAGTAAGAAAAAGCAAAAAAAGATTTGAGAAAAAAATATCTCAGAGATAAAGATGGACAGAACATTTAGGAGATGATGAAAACTAGTTGGTTGTGCAGTGGTGGTTGTGATGGAGAAGAAAGAGGTAATGCTGGCTTGGGGGATGGGCACTTCACTAATACTGGGACTACCGGAAGAGGAACAAGCTGGCAGCCAGGACGTCAAGCTGCGTTTTAGTTTGAGATGGAGTATCTGTGTGCCATCTCTGTGTATTTCTAGCAAGTAGTCAAATACTTAATTCTGAAGTTCCTACTTGAGGGAAATTTTACTCAACATTGTATTGTTCATTGCCAAGCCATGGGACATGGCAAACATGAGGAATCCATGTTTAATGGTGGTTTGGTGCTAACAAACCTCAATAAATGTGCCCCATATCAAGATCATTTGAGCCCTGGATGCTATTAAAGGGTGTTTATAAGTTCACAGGAGGATTAAAGATTTCCCAGTACGCCCTTAGTTATAATGATTGTTGTAGCTTGTTTTGTATAGAGCAAGTATCTAATTTTGTGGTCTCTGCTGCTATTTCTTCGTCACCTTGTAGATGCACACAAGACATCCATGTGTGGATAATGCCTCACTATAGTGAGGACCAAATGCTTTATTAATTCTACCATTGGGAAGTAGAGATTTTGGGTTGGAGTTTGTTTTGTTTTGTTCCTTTTGGGGAGAAAGGATGTTAGTTTGATGTCATTGCACCTCTGTGGTGTCCTACTTTGAATCTTGGGTCTTGATATGTCATTTTTCTGACCAGCCATTGTTATGGTTTTTGAATCTCAGTATTTTCACTCAGGATGTTTTAAAATAATATCTTGAGATAATAAAGTATATAATGTTCCCTTCCTCTGGAATGAGGTTGTGTCATTCCATGAATAATTCTAGCTATGGATACTTATAAAATCACACCTAGGTGCATTTAATTCTGCAAGTCTTTAAATAATGACAAGTCAATTGAGTTAATAAATGAATTTTAAGAAAAGAAAGCAAGAAAACTTTCTCAAGCATTTTTGAGGCCCTTGATTGCTCCTTTTCTTGATCCTGTCTTTCATGAATTCTGGATATTGCTCCAAGTTTATTTTTTGGTCCTCTGATTTCTATAGCACACCATAGCTCAGAAAATGAATTCCCTTCGATGGCTCCAACAATCACCCATAGGAAGACAATTCTGAGTCTTGCTTCTTACAATCTCATCTTATTGCATTTGAACATGTCAATGCTTCCATAAAATGAACACTTTCAAACCTGACTCATTACCTTCCACACAAAACTAGGCCCATTTCTGGATCTCCTGACATCTGATTTTTTATTTCTCTCTCCAGGTTGCTTAGGTTCAATCTCCATATGACTTTCAGTCCTTCCATTTTTCCCTTTCTCCTAGACATTCTCCTGTGAGATAAATGAGACAAAATATGTGATACTCGGAGCATGCTAGGCACTTAACAAGTGATAGTTTACTGTTTCTTCTACTTTTCCTCCCAGATCTAGGCATTAGAAGAACTCCATGTCCTTGTTACTGGGCCCCAGAGTGTCCTTCTCACCATTCCATACTATGCTACATTACCACAGGTATTCTCTAAATTGTCCCCATTCACAAACCTTAGGTCTAATCCCTTGTAGTGCCCCAAAAAGCTACATCCAAATCCTAATTCCTGGTATTGTGAATGTGAACTTATTTGGAAAAAGGGGCTTTGCAGATGTAATTCGTAAATTAAGTTAAAAAATCTGAAGATGAGATCATTCTAGATTTGGGGTGGGCTCTAAATTCAATGATGGTGTCCTTGTAAGAAGAGGGGAAGACACAGAGACACAGAGGAGGGAAGGTCATGTGAAGATAAAGGCGGAGATTGGAGTGATGCATCTCCAAAACAAATAATGCCAAGGACTGACCATGGAAGCTAGGAGAAACGTATGGAATGGATTCTCCCTCAGGGCTTCCAGAGGGAACTAACCCTGCCAACACTTTGATTTTGGACTTCCAACTTCCAACTTCCAAAAATGTGAGAAAATAATTTTCTGCTATTTTAACCCACCAAATTAGTGGAAATTTGTTATAGCAGGCTTAGGAAACTAAGATATCCCCTTAGCTTGGTCTTTGAGGTCCCTCTTAATCTGGCTTTGACCTACCTTTCCAAACTTGTCTCTTACTACTACCCTTTACAACTTCCCCTCCTGTGCATACTGACAGTCCCTTGATCATGCAGTAATTGTGCATTTTGTCTTTTCTTATGCAATGTCTTGCCCTTGTCTAAAACTCATCGTGTCTTCTTTATTTGTTTAAATCCTAATTATGAAATAAAAGGCCTACTCTAGTCCACAGTGATTTATTTCCTATTTTGAATTCCTAAAATATGCATTTGACACTGAATTATGTTCTGTTCAAATAGCATTTGTCTTGCTTTTCATGTATGTGTGTATCTCCTTGAGGGCAGGATTATTTTTGCAACATAGAAAATGTTGAATACGTAAGTGAAGCCAGCAAGTACTGGCAGACAATGCAGGTGTTGTGGGTTGAGTTATGTGCCCCTCCCTCAAGAAATGTGTCAAGCACCTATTGAGCTCAGTGATCCTGAAATATTCATGATAATAAGCTGTCTGGTTGCCACCTATTAGCTAGGTTTATGTTTAGGAGGAACTAGGAAGAATATGAGCTGTTTAATTAGGGGTGCTTGTCATCACTAATGAACAACAAGAAATAGTTTGAAAAGTTTGTTGAGATATTCGCTTGAAAATGTCACCAAAATTTCAGAAAAGTGCAGCCTCTGGAGTAAAGCTACTACACGATGATGAGAGAGGCTCTGTTGTGTTTGCATGTGTTACATTATGTGGTCCTCACAACATGCTGGCAAAATTGGCATTATTATCTCCATTTTAAAGATGAGAAAATTAGGTGCAAAAAGCTTCAGTGACATATTCAAGCTCATACAGCAATAAATAACAAAAAATTATGTTATAGACATTTTGAAAGTTACATGTTCCTCACTGCAAATTATGAAAGACCATAGAAGTAATCGAAGAAGTAGGTTTCATAATGTATCTTTTCTTGTCACGGATGAGTTTACTTTTATCCATCTTGTCCAAATTGTAAAATATCATTCTGGTCATCATCAGTATTACACAGACCTGTTCTTCAAATAAGCTTGATTTTTCAGTAAAATTAGAAGAAACCACAATTTTTAAATAGGTGTATTGGATGTACATTAAAGAAAAAAACTACCATGTGATTTTAGATATGAATGCTAATTCCTGAACATTATTATTCTGAACTGAAGTGCTTAGAATATTTAAAATGCTGTATACTCTGGTGAATTTTTCCAGGATAATATTGGAGCATATATGATATACATTTTTGCATATTTAAGTTTATGTGTGTACTTATTTTAGGTTATATGTACTAAGAACAGTATATATACAGTGTATGATAGTTACATATTATTTTATTTTTTGAGAGAACTTAATCCCCACAATTATTAACTGTGCATAAAATCTAAATGGCAGATGTAACTTATATTGTATAGGTCTGACTACATTTCCTCTTTAGGAATAGCTGTTCTTTGCTTTTATGATATTGGGAAAAGAGAAGAAGAGTTAGTAAAGAAATACAAGCATTCCTCAAGCCCTTTTTCCCTAAAACATGCTCCATCATATCTCCTGGATTGGCTGGAATATCCTCTGCCCCCACCCCGTCACCCTCTCAATGCAGTGGAAAAGTCGGTGGGTAATTGGGTCCAGATTGGAGATGTTTAAATATTCATGAGGCTGGCAGGGGACTGGGAGGGGGTGACTGCCTAGAGTGGGGGTAGGGGCTGGGGGAAGTGATTAGTCATTGAAAGCTAGTGAACAATTCTGAGAAAGAGACGGAGGAAAGAGGGAAGAAAAAGATATGTAGATAGAGATTGGGTGGGGGGAGAGAAAAAAGAGGAGAGAGAGAAACAGAGAGGGAGAGAGCGAGCGAGCGCGCAGGAGGGAGAGAGCATGTGCGATGAGCAATAGCTGTGGACCTTACAGTTGCTGCTAACTGCCCTGGTGTGTGTGCGGGAGAGAGAGGGAGGGAGGGAGAGAGAGCGCGCTAGCGCGAGAGAGCGAGTGAGCAAGCGAGCAGAAAAGAGGTGGAGAGGGGGGGAATAAGAAAGAGAGAGGAGGAAAGGAGAGAAGGCAGGAAGAAGGCAAGGGACGTTACAACCATGCTGTGCTGTATGAGAAGAACCAAACAGGTAGAGCTAAAGATTTTTACTTTTTGCTGTTGTGAAATTACCAGAGTACAATATTTTCCCTGTAAAGGCAAAAAAATTTTTTACTGCTTCTGCTCTGGCCTTGGTGCTCGCGTTTCCTTAGCATATGGTAACTGATGGTTGCATCCCAGCTTTTATTCCTTTCTGTCTTTCATGCTCTGGTTTTGGAATGCTGCTAGTAATTAGGGCAAGGGAAGAAAAAATACGTCTGTTTGGTTAGAAATAAGATTTTTTTTTTTCCTATTAGTGAATGCTCAGCGTTTTAGGTCACTGGTCTTGAGGGTGTGGATGTGGAAAGGGGTGTGGGGAAGAAGACGTGGACTCTACCTACAAGATGGGGAGGCGAACCTTTATATCATTTGCAAAAAGCAGGTTGAGAAAATAATATTCAAGGCTGGGTATTGCCTGTCTGCCGTATAATTTTCTCACATGTGCTGCGGAAGATGCCTTGTTTCGTACATGCATGTGCTTCAAAGGGGCGCAGGTATTTATAGAAAAACGTGAAGGCTTGTTTATTTATTTATTTTTCAATGAATGAATGGAGCTGTTATTTGGGAGATTTTTTTTTTTTTAGAAAGAGAACCCCAACTGGGACTGGGGGAGAAATTGGCCGTGCAGAAGGGGAAAATCCCCTTCCTAAGACCAGTAGCCGATTGTGCACCAGCTGGTCTGAGGAGAGGGTGGACCACGCCCCTAGGAGCCTTGAGCTCAGACGGGATGGGAAAGACCAGCCGAGCCGGGTATTACCTGTTGGAAGCCAGGTCTTTTCTCTTACCCCCTTCCCTTGCTTCTTTCCTGGGGTTATCTGTGACCAGAGACGTGCTAACATCCTGGATGATAAGCACGGTGACTCATTTTTATCAGGAAGAGGGGCACATCTAAGATTAGCAAGAACTGAATCCCCTCCTTTGCTCCCCCACTGCCCAGGTTTTTCTTCCATTTCAGATTGCTCGCTTATTTCTTGAAAGACGTTTCAGAAACTTGATTGGGGTGAGAGTGGGGAGGAATGGCGAGTGCGGTATTCCGCAGCAACCCATCGTGCCGTGACAGTCTCCAAAAGAAGCTTTCAAACATTTCTTGGAACACGTTTGAGTGATTTTGGCGAAGGTTGAGGAGAAAAAAATGGGTGTGGGATATGGGTGAATGTGTGCGTGTGTGTGCGTGTGTGCGCGCGCGTGTGTGTGCCTGTGGTGGGGGTGGGGGCAGGGTAGGGGGTTAGTGGGGGCAGGCTTGGTCAAAGAAGCCCTTTGCAGATTGATTGCCTTAGGGGTGGGGTGCAAGAGATCGGATTTGGGTATTATTTCCTGTGCAGGTATTGGAAATTAGGCAATTTGTAATACACTCCCTGAATCCGAAGGGGGTGGAAGACAGTGGAGAAGCAGCAGCCTGCCAGCCTTGCACATTTAGCCAGCGCCCTGGAAGGAGGGGTGGGGAGTGAGGATGAAGGAGAAGGAACAGGAAGGGGAAGGGAGACCAGCAGAATGTCTGAGCAGTGGGTGTAGAGTCATAAATAAATAAATAAAATGTAAAGTAGCAGGCATCCTGGATTGTGTGGGCATGTTTGGGGAAAAGTCAGATATTGGGGGTGGGGGACGGGTATTTGCAGCATTTCTCTGAAGTGCTCTATGGTTCTGGACATTGATGCTTCCATTGGCTCATTTTTCAAACCAGGACATTTTCTCTCTTGAGTTCCTTTATTTTAATATATAAATGTAATAAATACAGGTGTCTAGGTTAAGTACACCATCAAAGAAAAGTCCTGAGGTTACTTCACTGGTGAGCTGGGGAAATAAAATTTAGGAAGGCGGAGCCTTAAGAAAGCCAAAGCTATGTATTTAAAAAAATCTTTAATTTCAGAAAGAAAAATATGCTGGTTTACAACTTGTTCCCACCTCTTTATACACATTGAAGTACATACGCATCTTCTCTGATAAAGGAAACCACGCATGATTTTTAGAAAGGGAGTTAGGGCTAAAGGAATTCCCTTCCTAAAATGAGGACAGCTGCCTTCACTCGGGTTCTATCTCTCTGACAGCCCCAAGCGCTCATATTCTGATGTGCAATTTAATGGAGCTGAAATTGTGTGTTTAGGGAGAAATTCACATGTAAATGTGTACAGCATCCACATACTTCATATGCAACAGTCATGCGTGTACTCTGTATGCTTACCACATGCCTTCCTGTGTTTTAGCATCATTCATATTCAAAAGAGAAAATGAAGGGTATAGAAATTGTCCTATTTTGCCCATGCATTTTATAAATGTGTACTTATGTGTGAAATGGTCATGTCTCTTATATACCACTATTGTGTATCATTCATACTAGTTAGTATTTAGGGTACCATTCAATCAGACTGAAGGAAATGGTGTATTCAGGGCGTGGGCTCACACTACACTCACTGACTGGCATTTATACAGCGTGAGTACTTAAGTCTCACACAGGTTTCCTTCTTGTGGGTGAAATGATCCTGTATCATTCATGGCAAAATCCAGTGGTGTCCATCCTTTTGACATCTATTCATCCTCCTAGTACTTAACAGGGAATAAAACAAGGGCAAAAACCTGCAAAGGTCTAAACTCTGCCACACCCATGAAATCCAGCAGAAACGTGGGAGGGGGCTGGAGGGCTTGCACTTCCTTCCTCTTCCACTTGAGCAGCATAAAGAAGCAATCTTGGATTTCTAAGTTGTAATACATTGCCAATGGGTGAGAAGAAAGCCTAAATGATGTATATTAGCCATTAGTTACCATTATAGATTATTGTAGGAGGAAGAAGAGAATGAGATTGGGGTGGAGATGAGAATATGGTAAATGAGTAGGCAAAGGAGAAATAAAATAAAAGAATCCCTGAGATTTTATTGACTTACGATTTTCAAATATCTTGGGACTTACTTTAAATAGCTTAATTGCCATGCATATTGCAGATGATTAAAAACTTGCAAGGTGTGATCTGTGTCTACAAAGCAAGAAAACTATGAGGTGTTTCCTTTGTTTAAAAATAATGATTTTAGTTTGTAACTGAGGTGTAAAGAACACCACGCAAGCAAGTAGCCCCTCTACCTCTCAGCCCCCAGCCACCGCCAACATCCGCCTTTTTCCTCATACAACAAATAAATTCTTATCTTTGGGAGCGTTGATCTGAGGCTTAGAATTCCAACCTCGCTGTGCCTTTTCCTTGCAGCCTTGGGAAGGTGTTGGAAGGATGCTGCTGCCTTGCTGCTTGGTGCAGGCGCTTCTTCCTGGTGATACATTGGATTCCTCCTAAATCTCTCTGAGCCACACCCAGTGTCATCCAGGGACTTAGTGAATTAATTAAATGGAGGCATTCTACTTAATGTAATTGAAGCTTGCTCTTTCTTTAAAAAAAAAATGTAGGGATTTTCACCCCACATTTACGAATTTAAACAGAAGAAATTGTTTAAAGGGCATTTTTTGTTTTTTGCCAAATTATCTGGACTTGCAGAGAACCTTAGGAAATTCATGGTGAATCTAGAAATGTGTTCATTTCTGGTGACTCTATGATTCTTTCTAACTCATGGCAGGGTGCATACATAATAAGCCCTCTTCTCTCATGCTGACAGTCTGTGTAACTCTGTTCTCCACCCCCCTCCCCCTACCAACCCATGCTGAGGCAACTGGAATAAGAAAATGCAGAGTTAATTTTCTTTCTTGCTGAGCTGGCAAAACTATAGAAACCTTCTTTGATGTTTCATGCTAAAGGGCAGTGCTCCTATACACCAAGAGGGAGAGTGGCTTAGGGTCTCCTTTGCCTCAATGATAGTGAAATTGTCAGTGTTACGCCTGGGGCTGAATTAATACACAGACTTCAGAGTCTTACCCGGCCCCATAAGAAAGGGGTTTGGGGTTTTTTCAGGCAATAATAGAGCATATATATTTAGCAAATGTTCCCCTTGTTCATATTGATAAAGTAAGACAAGACTAAACTCTTCTTCTATTAATAGTTCAAAGAATACACATAACCAGGTCATCTCAAGAGAAGATACAGCACTGAACTATTCACTTCCCTATTGGTTGTAACAGAGGCACTAAGGCAACCAAACAGTGTCTGTTGCAAACCAAAGAAGTGATTGTGCACAGGCATTCCCCCTTTTGAATTTCTGGAGTACAGTCAGGTTGCGTCTGTACCATTGTAATTAAATAATTAAATCTTCATAGCATTCTCTGAAGTTGAGAAGAACACTGTACTATGAATCCTTAGCTGATGCCACTTACTGATTGTGAGATCTTGAATGAATCACATCATCTTGGGCTTCAATTTCCTTCTGTAGAATGGGAACAAAAACCAAAAAATACAAACAAACAAATAAACCAAAATACAAACAAAAAACAAAAAACAAACAAAAAAAACACCCTGTTTCCCTTAAGGATTTTTGTAGGGATTAAACAATGTGAAAACAAAGATCAATACAAATATTAGAAAATATTTCTCTCCAAGTTTTGCAATGTGACTTAGAACGTCAGTTTTTCAGGATTGCCAAGTGCCCCCCATGTCACCTTTTTCTGTTAGAGGTGACTTCCTTCTGGTCATAGTTGAGCCTTCTGCTTGTACTCTTATTCCTTCCCCTGTGTTTTCTCCAGAACCTCACTCCCTCATGCCCTGCTCTCTCTTGAGCTTCATCCTCTTGTACTGTATTAACTCCTTTCCTCAGAGGCTGTGAATATGCTCTTGTCTCCTTTATCTTAAAGGATCCTCTCCTGACTCGATGTCCCCATGTCTATAGTGAGTGTTCTGCCTTACCTCCTCGTCGAACAAATTTCCTGCAAGTACTCTCCCCACACTCACCTTCTCCCCTCTGTCACTGTTTCATCTACTTTAATTAGGATTTTGTTTCCATAATTCCACTGGAACATATTCTGAAAAGGGCACCACATCTAGTGACCCTTTAGTTTGCATCTTATTTGACATCTCTTTGGCATTTTGTATTGCTGTCTAGCCTGGTTCTGGAGCTTTCTCCTAACTGG